CAGGTATCACCGCTACATAATGAACTCTCATTCTTCTTGAAACCTAATCTTGGTGTCCCCATAGAGAGACACCCTCATTTGCAGATACTCTGTTGTGCACCCTCCTCCACTTAAATTCCTCCATCAGCTTCCTAGATTAGACTAACAGTCTATCTAACACACGCCCACATGCCTGCACTAATCCCACATTCAAGTATTGAGGCAGCGTAAAAGTTCATACTCACAAAGGAGACAGCATTACAAGTATGAGCAACTTTGGGTACCACAAACAGCTTGGCAAGTATGAGGACATCGATGAAGATGAACTTCTGGCCTCCCTGACTAATGAAGAAATCCAGGAGCTGGAGAAGGTTATGGCTGAAATAGAACCTGATACGAACATACCCACGGGGCTAAGGCAAGAGGACCAGACGGCCAAGCAGCCAACAGGCACTTTTTGTCGAGAGGCTCTGCTGAAGTACTGGGAGAACGAGACTCACAGATTGCTAGAGGTAGGGACTACACACATAAATTGAGTGATATGCCAAACTTTGAGGCACTCGTTGCATTCCATTTTTTGTTTCTTGACAAACACTTAGGCTTGCCACTGGAGTGGTACCCTTAAAAGGTACTAATATGCAGGTACAAAGGTGTACCTTTGTAGGGTACTGCCCAAGTGACAAGATAGTGTACCCCTATAAGTACTATTTAAGGTATTCTGAAAGTGTAGGCATATCCACAAAACTAGTACAAAATTTAGAATTTATTTGTGTGGGGGTCAGGTTAGGATTTTTTTTGGTAAACTAATAAGTCCCAATCTTTGGGAGGTCTCCACAAGGAGGCTCCCAGCTTGGGGACAAGGTGGTCTCCAGCTTCATTAAGGGATTAAAAATGTCTTTAAATTTAGAATTAAGTCTAAAGTGTCTGTGAGTAGTCCATTTGAGGCAGGCGTGCCCAATACTCCCTTGTGGAAGGCCACCACCTTGCGGAGTTTAGCTTCAACCTTCTCCAACACACCTGCCTATAGGTTGCTAGTATTCCTGAAGCCATTGATTACCTTGTTCAGGTGTATTTAATTAAGACTGGAGCTAAACTATACAGAAAGTTGGTCTTTAATGCTGTGTTCCATTTACCTCGGATGTCGGAGCTGGGCATGACATTACACCCAAGTGGACCGTGTTTCCAGTAGAGAAGTCAGAAAATCAAGATGGACACGTCCATTGTTAGCAATACCAGTCAATTAAAAACACAAAAAAGTGGTATTTTGCACAGATAACACCATAGTATCATGTTCACAAATAGAGGTTGGATAGTAGCCTACTGTGTGCACCGCTTTATTGAGTTTATTGAGACCTAGATAAATATTGGCGCTAATAAACAATATATTACTACTATTTCTCTTCTGTTGATGTACTGAGCAGCCATATTGGATTCTGAAGTTGGAGTTGTTGCGATTCCTTCGAGATTCCGAGTCGGAACCCTAACTTGGGAGGGTGTTCCAGTTAAAAGCGTCTTCTGGGAACTCAGAATTTCCAACTTCACCATGAGGATTGGGCGTCCCTGATTTAAGGGTACAATTAAGGGAGGGCCACTATCCTGAAGAGTTTATCTCAACCCTGAGTTATGCATAGTTATGGTTAGCTTAGTTTAGCTTAGTTTTAAATAAAATAACACTATATTAAATAAAAATTCAGTTTCTTCAAAGAGATTACAGAAGACTGTAACTGCAACATTGCTTCCACGGAACATAGTTATTGCTCTGCTGGTGTCTCAGCTGGTGATATCTTTCTTAATTAAGCATCATTGTTTGAGGTATGCCAGTGCTCAACCTTGTTTTCCTTTCTATGGTGACACAGGACAGCATGGATGAGTGCCAGACAGATAAGAGCGAAGAGGAATGTGGCAGTGAAGAGCCTGAGGATAATGAAGAGGAGAGAGAGCAACAAAATTGGGGGCTCAGAACAGGGGGAGATGGGGAGAAAGAAGCTAGGTCAAGCAATTGGAATTTTGTAGATTTATCCAGATTAGATTGCAAGAGGAATGGCAATAGTGGTCAAAAACCTAAAGGCATTCATAAAGGTGCCCTTCATCACCAAGTTACACCAGAGAGGCCAAGTGGTAACCCCACTGATATAGTTAAGACCTTGGAAAACATCTTGAGTAACGACACCTCCTTGAATGAAGTCAACCTCAACAACATTGAGAACATATCCCAAGAGGTTTTGGTGAGCTTTGCTGATGCATTAATCTCCAACACTCACGTTGAGGTTTTCAGCCTTGCCAACACCCATGCGGATGACCAAGTAGCTTTTGCTTTGGCCGAAATGCTGAAGAAGAACTGCAGCATCACCAACCTTAATGTTGAGTCCAACTTCATTTCAGGCAAAGGTATCCTGGCTTTGATTGGGTCAGTTCAGTACAACACAACATTGGTGGAGCTCCGATTCCACAACCAGCGGCACATCTGTGGAGGCCAAGTGGAGATGGAAATGGTGAAATTGCTAAGGGACAACACCACCCTGTTGAAACTGGGATACCACTTTGACTTACCTGGCCCAAGGATGAGCGCAACTGGTATTTTAACCCGCAACCAGGACCGCCAGAGGCAAATGCGGCTGCAACAAAGGAGAGAACAAGACAATCTAGAAAGAAGTGAGGAACAATCCAAGACATGGGATACTGTGGACAATACGCAGTCTCTTCAGTTCCAGATTTCAACAAAGATGCTACACAAGGGAAGCAGCACTTGGTCTCTTCTCATTTACCAAAACATCCTCATAGTAAACCAAAACTTGTGAATAACGTGCCAACTAGAAAAATCGCTGAAATGGCCAAGCAACAAAAAGAAACCGCAATGGATAGCACTGTTCGAAACCAGACTAATGCAAATAAAGGACTCAAAATTACAGGGGATAAACATAGCAAGAGCATTTTTCAAAATGAAAAACCAGTACCTTTGAGAAGAAAAGATGAAAGAAAGAGTCTGGGAGGCACCCAGGGGTCAACGCGTGATGATCTGTTGGCAGCTATTCGTAGAAGCAGCATTGGTACACTACGAAGGGCAAGACATTTAACATTTGTCCAGGACATGACGAAGTAGGTAAGCCTTTAAACACAGTGCTCAAATTTGTAATTCACTCAATATTACTGGACAGGATAGGAACTTCCAAATTAAGGGTTTGGTAAACGCCAACCCTGTAAAATCAGGTCTCTTGGGAACTGACTGTAAGACTTTAAGCAATAATTACCTTTTTATACCAAGAATTTAATTATTCGTTCAGTGGTTGTCTTGATTGAGATCATTTAAATTACCATGAAATCATTAGTCAGAGAGTGGAAAACACTTCTATCCACACGTAAATAGCGGTTTCTTCCTTTTTCTTGCAGGTCACCAATAATCATCGTTCTTGAGGTATAAGATGGCTCATATAAAATTAATCTGTGAAACAAATAACACGAATGAATACTTTTGTTCTCTTAACTGGCATTTGATATGAACAACGTTAAGTGTTTTTCGTAACTTCTTTCCACCAACAAAATATTTTGCTCACCAAGTAGAGTTTGAACCATGGCCGTAACCAGGATTTGAAAATGAGTGAGGTCTGGGGTGGGAAAGAAGTTTTTAAAAATTGTGCTTTAATAACCCCTACAAATACAACTCATATACACTAAACACTTTAAAAGAGACAGACACGTAGATGTTTGTCAAAGATGTTTTCTGTTTTGGAGGGATGAACATTAAATCATACCATATTTACTGCATCAAAATTTGTTAATACTTTATAAGTTAGGGGTGGATAATTTTATCAGTTGTTTATTATTTATGCAACAATACATATTACTGTTATAGTTTTCATTAATAACCATTGCTATATAGATGATAACGGTCTAGTGCTCTTATGAATTTTTTTTAACATGACTGTGAAAATTTAACTACTATACTGAATGAAATCGCATAGACTTCTTCATGGCTAGTGTTTGCATAATAAATTTCATTCTGTAACCTACTTGTTCTACAGATCTGTGTACTTGTGTTAAATGCTACCGCTCTAGATAGTGTTGATAAGGTTTCTGACAGATAATATCATGGTTTTGTGCGTTTGCCTTAGCGAATGTGGTATCCTGTCAGCAATAATCTGTCTGTGGGCTTTTTAAATTACTGTCAGTTTAAGCGCCAGCGATCAGTGTTGCCAGATATTGATAATGAAAACAAGTAAAAAACAAAAAATTAACCGAAATTAGTTCCAATATTTTGCAAATATGATATCGCTGACCCTAAACTGCAACTTCCCACTTTATTAACTTTCTAAAGTGTCAAATTAATTGGAAAAGACAAGTCCAAAGATGCTTATAATAGCTGGATCTTAACAGTGTATGTTCATTTTCCCTGTTTGACCACTGCACGTCTGTGGGTTTTATTTTGCTTAAGAAAAAAAATATATTGGGTGTAACGGTGGTTGGGCACCCACCATCAGAAACATAAATCAGCACATATGACTTATATCATATGAGAAAGATCAAATCCAAAAAGAACATAGCTGATTTGCTTTGAAAGCTGAATGCCATAATTCAGACTCCAATGTATCTGTCATGCAACTAGTTGAGGTTCATCCAGTAATTTTAGCCATCAAAGATGTACAGGTATACAAGAAGTATTTATATAAGTTGGAAAAGCTAGAAGTTAAAATATACATGCATTGCAGAAATGTAGGTTCCTAAAAAGAAAAGCACCATATCTCAGGTTTGTAAATATTACCATTTATTTAAGTATAGAATTTAGTGTTTTCAGTCCACATTCCAACCCTCTTGTAAGATTTGATGTCAATTATAAAATTTTTTTCAGCACTATCCTTACAGGACAAGGACAGCATATTCAGTTCAGACAGACAATACTGTTAAACCAGCATTAATTGTACACAAAGGTTTGTTGTTTTCCATTAATGTAGTTGTCGGTCAAGGATTGACCTGTAAAAGCTTCTAACAAATGGAAGTTTAAATTGTTTTTTTTTTGTGAAGTGCTTTTTTTCTTTTCTTGATATGACTGAAATTCTGTATTTGTGAACTGATGGTTTTTCACATTCAGGAGCAAGCTGCACTCACGACTTTGCCGGTTTGAATCTACTGTATGTTATTTTCGTGTTAATAAAGTGAAATCAAAACCTCAGAACGGTCTACTTTGTGATGTGCAATGTAGTGTGACGCTGATCGTGATTACCACAGAAATCATATTCAAAGTGTTCAGCCAATGTGTTCTCATCCTGCAGTGAATTTCCTTTTGTTATTCGTGCAAAAATATATATAGCCTCAATATATCAGCCAAGTGTACATTTACAAGGGAAACAATACAGGGCACATACATATTCTGATAGGAGAACCTCTTACCAAATCCAAGAATGCGAAACTAGGATTTGAATAAGAAAATCGAAGGTACAGAAAAGTAGGGTATGAAAATAGTGTTATCTAAATCATTAATCAACAATTAATAAGGACATCGAGCGTCCCGTCCATCTCCCTTTCCCCACTCACAGGGGAACAAAAACATTCAGGCCAACAAATCATGAATCCTGGCATAAAACTTCACATGGTTATTCCAGGAGATTATTTTACAGAGGATAAATGACAGTACTTTACAGATTACATGAGGTATTGCACAGAATATAAAAAAAACAAAAAAAAAAGCAAAAAGGCAAAAAAATATACAGCGATTTGGAAAAGAAAAATCATACACAGAATGGGTGTAAAATTTGGGGAAGTGACAATTTAGTATAATTTACTCTACTGGTTGGGGTTAGTGTTGCGGGATTAATCATCCCATTCGTCATCATCCTCAAAGTCTTCATCATCCTCATCATCCTCATCTTCATCTAAGGACCCAGAAAAGATGCATAACCACCGTAAATAACTCATTACTTACTGACAATGGCTTTCATGCTCAATCTCAAATGAACCAGAGGATATTAGAGTATGAAAAGTGGCCTCAACACATCAGCGTTTATCTGCGTCAGCAAACGCTAAAAATGCATTGATTTAAATGGGGATGTTGTGTCTTCGGAATGAAGAGGAAAAAGTCATGTTATCTGTCATGTTACCAAAATAATCTTTTAGTTGGACTTGACATGTTACATCTTTAAAACGTAACGTCAGTGCGTAGTAATCTAACTGGATCCACATTGGTTAAAGTGAGAAAAAAAAAACATTTGCAGCTATGAGTGGTCTGTTTTGAAGAAACTCTTGAGAGAGTGAAACAAGCACTTACCTGAGGAGTGGATGGCTTTGCTCCTCTTTTGCATCACCTCCATCAGAGCTCCAACAATGCCTGCTGACTGAGCAGGGGTGGGTGGTCCCGAGTCATTATCTGATACCTGAACATTCAAGAATAAAGCAATCAGACAACCATAACAAACAACGGTTCATAGAGCAAGCTACAATAATTTATATTATATATTATGAAAGCATTTGGGGACTTACACTACTGTTCCAAAGTGTTTTTTTTTTTCATTCAGCAAGGATGCATGAAATTGATCAAAAGTCATAGTAATTTATATTTATATTTATATATATATACGAGCAATATCACTCGAGTACGAGAGCGATACCGGCTCTATATCAGCATGGCTGTGATTAGGCCAGAGGCACAAGGCAATCACAGCCGCTGATATAGAGCCGATATCACTCGAGTACGAGAGTGATATTATATAGACGTGCATCCAAATGAGAGAGAGAGAGAGAGACCGCGAAGCTAGACGTTTCTTCTAATATTAACTAACGTACTCTACGATTAGCTCAGTAAATAATTAAAAAAAATAACATAGACCTGGCTAGAACAAGCGGAGTGATACAAAATTTTGAAAGGGCGTTCCTGTAGCGATACCAGTACAATATCTCACGGTTCTCAACCAATCAGATTTGAGAACCAGAACGAACCGTTGTATGTATGTATGTATGTATATATATAAACCTTTATATCATCACAAAAGATGTCTATTTTAAAGAATCTTAAAAATATTATCATGGTTTCCACAAAAATATTACGCAGCACAACTGTTTTCAACACTGATAATAATAAAAAATGTTTCATGTGATACTGGAGTAATGGCTGCTGAAAATTCAGCTTTGCATCACAGGAATAAATTACTTTTTAAAATATATTCAATAAAAAAATTATTTTAAATTGTAGTAATATTTCACAATATTATTTTTTTTTACTGTATTTTTGATCAAATAAATCCAGCCTTGGTGAGCTTAAGATATATATATACACACACAATTTACACACACAAATTTGTTTATCTAAATATACTATAACAATTTTTTATAATAAAATAAAATTATAAACCTATAAATAAAAATATAAAACTGTATAATTATATAGTAACAAAAACAGTTTGATTCACCACATGTAACTGGTAGTTTAAAACCTTAGTTTTAACTCAAAGGATGATTGACAGGTGAGCAGGCGGTCCTCCACCTTTGTCTGGGACACATCAGGATGTGTTAGCGTTTACAGTCCTCACCGTTTTGAGCTGGATGCCCTGTCGGATCTGGTCGAGTAGCGCGTCACGTCCTATTGACGACACTGGCCTGTTGTTTTGCTCCACTTTCTTTAAGTGAGTGCCCTCCCTGATTTGCTCCAGCAGAGCTGACTTCCCGCCCTTGGGCGAGGGCGTTGATTCACCGTGGCCTCCATCCATATCAGGAGCAATATACCCCAGCGACTTAAGACTGGTTTTGTGGTCCAGGGTCACATATGTCAATACAGGAAAGAAAAGTGTCAATCTATTTCATGGGGTCAATTAAAGCTTGAGTAAGACTTTCACTCTAGAGGAAAAACCAAACAATCAAAGCAATCAAACATGTTGTTTTAAAAGATCAACGGAAGTAGACAAATGCCTCTTGAACAATCATGAAAAATATCCATATATGCACAAATGCTTTTCCATAAAGTTACATGTAGGTAAAACAGCACTTTCACATCTAAAATTGGTCCTCCAAGTGTTAAAACAGCATTTAAAACAACCCATGCCAACTTGCAAAGATTCAGACCTGATACACATGCAAATCTAAGCAGGTTTCACTCAGAAAAACACACATTCTACCTACCGCACCACCTGGGAGGACCTGAAGGAAAACCACATATATCGATCAAATATAAAATGCTAATATATGCACCCAACTGCTGTAAAATAATGTGGCTGTAACACATTCCTCAGAGGATTTTATAATGTCATAAAAAGGATATATTGGCTTTGCTGCATCGGGACAGAAAATTACTAGTTAGGGGAAGTTTTGGGCATTTTTTTCTGACAGTGGATGGTTGATGGACTGACATGTGTATATGATGATGCCACAACTGGCAGGTGTTCAGTGCAGAGAGTCTGACAGCGATCAGTCTCACCTTGTCTCCTCAGCTCATTCTTCACAGCCTCTACGCCGCCCTTCTTCTCAATGAAGTCGTAGATGACCTTAGACGTCTCCTTGTCTTTGAGCTGGGCCTCAGAGATGCCACACATGTCAAACAGGTTCTTCAGCTCTGGGTCCAAATTATTCAACTGCAAAATAAAAACGGTAAAGTCGTGAGACATTTCTTTTTTTCCTTATATAGAATAGTTACACATTTAACAATACTGAAGTTCTGAAATTCAACAGAAATGTTTATTTACTAGGACTGTTTCATACATGAAATACAAGTGCTTGCAAGGCAGCAAAAGAACAGTGATAAAGTTTTAAGTAGAACTAGAATTTTTAGATTTGCTGAAAAAAACGTGTTGTTTTTGCCCGTGCCAAATAACTTGAAGTATCATTCATTTCCATAGCAAAAACGTGCAGATAAGTGTCCAAAATGTTTTATTTAGGGTTAGGGGGTTGTTTGGATCACCAACCTTAAGTATGAGCAATAGTAATAGTGATGCTTGCCTTAGTAAGCACAACTAAATATAGATAGAAGAAGAAAGAGAGAGAGAGATATTAATGATAATGTGTCAAAACGATGAGTAAACGGATGCAAAATTAAAAGGCCCAATCACAATCCAGTATGCAAACAGATGTAAGACAGCAAATCGCGACTCAGTATGCAAATATCATTATCACTGCTGGTTAGTTTTTGAATGCTGAAGTGCAAGTTAAAGGGACAGTTCACCCAAGAGATATTTTGAAGAATGTTGGTGACCAAACAGTTGACGGTAGCCATTGACTTCCATAGTATTTTTTTTCCATACCATGGAAATCAATGGCTACCGTCAACTGTTTGTTTACCAACATTCTTCAAAATATCTTCTTTTGTGCTCAAAAAAAAAAAAAAAAAGAAAGAAACTCATACAGGTTTGGAACAACGTGAGGGTGAGTAAAGGGACAGTTTACCCCAAAAAAATGAAATTTTTGTCATCATTTAATGGTTTTCAAACTTTAATCTTACCTTTAAAGCTATAATGTTTAGAAAAACTAAAAACAGAACATTAAGACTAAAATAAATACATACATATTTATTAAAGATAACCTTTTTGGATGCAAGTTAATGGGAATTTAATTCTTAAATTTAAAAAGTATAATGCTTATAGAAATTAAAATTAAATTAAGGTTAAAAAAATATATATATATCTTTTTTAAAAACTTATTTTAAGTCAATAACTAAAAACTTAACTAAAAGTAAAAAAATTAAGTTAAAAAAATGTAAATAATTAAATTAATTAAATAGTAAATAAGTGTAAATTAATGGGGATTTTCAAACTATAATATTACATTTACTTTAAAAGTATGTTTATAGAAACTAAAACACTTATTTACAATAAATAAAAAAATCTTAAATTAACATCTTTAAATGCCAGTTAATGGGGATTTTTCATTTTAAAATAAGATCATGATGATTAAAATCTTAAGAGAAATCAATGCAATTCTGCCTTGCAAGCACTACACGTCATTTTCCCAGCGTTCATGCTGTTCTCAAATGTAGCACAATCCTGCCACCTTGTGGACACACTGCTAATGATAATCATCACCGCTAAAACCCTCCATTATGTCATGCTCAACATTCCAGCTGCATGCATAACGCAAACCTTAAAATGAGGCTTCTTCAGAGCATTTACATATTTTTCCAGTTAGTTAAGAGCAACAGCATCTCATTTTATTGCACCAGTAGCCTGAATTTCTAATTGCTTCATAAAAAGGCAGCAGTTTGCAATATCTCCAGTATTTCCATAACAAACAAGTTTAGCATAAAATGATTTAAAATATACACAGTGCAAATATACAGATAGCACACTGCTGTGTACACATGCAATCTGAGTAGTGTTGTGGGCAACAGACTGCATATTCAAGCGTCAGATGCTTCAGCCTGCATGAACACAAGGCTATTGAGGCATGTCATCATGCCATTACTACACAGGTCAGCATTGTTTTCCTATGAGAGATTCTTCAATACGTATGTGAGAGCGAGTATGACAGTGAGAGCGTGTGAGTGTGTTGGTCGGGTTACAGAGCAAGTCATTGTTGTGTACTTACATCGAAGCCTGTGTTCGGATCCCATCCTACATGACCGATGTGCCTGGAAAATATTGCGTTAAGCACAGTCAGACTGGCATCAACAACAACAAATACAACACGAGGAAAGGGAATAAACTTAACCCTTGCGCTGTGCTGAAAATCCTTCCTAAATTTGTATTTTGTTTGTAAAATTGTTTGCGAATCTTCCATTACGTTATATTATTAACCAATCTAGCATTCAGTTTTGTTTTTTTTTTATCAACTTTTCTTTCAATGAGCACAGGTTTGGTATTTCTCTAGGACTGACTGGCTGTAGGTCACACTGATCAGAGCATCTGCACCACAGTAATACAGTAATACAAATTAAAGCTATATTGACAAAAAAAAATACCAACAACAAATAGAATCAATTAAATAAATGAATAACACAATAAAATTCACAAAAATTTGAATGAAAACAGAAAATACTAAAATAAAATAAAATTAAAAATATTAACAATATATAAAATATTTCTCAATAATACTAAATTAACACAGGCATAAGCTCAGATCAACGAGGCGTAAGATCAATCATTTCCAAAAAGTAATACAAAATCTTAATGAATGTGTTAATAATGAAAAGAAAACTATCTGACAGAAAGACTTAAATATTTAGTAATACGATTGAAATACTACGACTACTAATAATAATGCTAAATGACATTCATGCAAATTTTTATCAATTTCTTAAAACAATTAAGTACATATTTTTAAAATGTAATAACATTTTCAAGTTTAAGGTAATGTGGATTTCAAACTTTAATCTTACATTTCTTTAAAAGCAGAATGTTTACAGAAACAAAAACACATTAAGGCTAAAATAATTTTTTTTAATTTATTAAAATTAACATTTCTTCGGTAAAAAAAAAAAAAAAAGTAAACTTTTTTTAAGTTAATTACATTTTCAAGTGTAATTTAATGTGGATTTTTTAAAACTTTAATCTTACATTTCATTAAAAGGTACACGTTTTATAGAAACTAATATAGCACATTAAACAGATACATATTTAAATAAGAACTTTTGAAGCTAATAATTTTTAGTTAGTTAATAGGATTTTCTAATTTTAGGCTTAAAATTCTTTTAGGGTATACTGTTTATGGAAACTAAAATCAGCACCAACTCCATAGAAAATAAATAAATAATGTTTTTGAGCAAACGGACAGAAAAAGACATGAGAATAAAAATAAAGCCTCATTAGAAAAAAAAAACAAAAAACAAACGCAGCATGACAGCATTTTAATATGCATTACTGATGTCACTTCCTGCCAACACAGGAAGTACTGAAACTGCTATACTTAAAGACTCACTGGAAGTTGCTTGGTGTCCCAATGTCAGCCTTTGTCAACTTCCGACTGCCCTTGCCCTTCTTTTTCTTCTTGTTAAGGCCACTGTGCACCATGTTATTCTTATGGGACACAATAAGTTTGTTGTTTATCTCGGGATTCTTGATGTCCACCGTTGCCATCAGGAGAGTGGGTCCTGGGCACATGACAAAACTGATTAGCTGCTGCCTGAGAATCACCAACCCGTTGTACACATTTCCCTGTGAGAGTGACAGGAGTCGTCTCTGGCCGAGCTCTTTCAACAACAGCTGATTCTGTCCAGCGTAAGCAAAGAGGGGGCGGCCCAATGAATGAATCACACACATTCCTGGAAGTTCATGTATTCAAAGACAAGATGATGCTGGTGTGGTAAGAACGACAACAAATATAATAATAATAATAATAATGTAAAAAAATATAGAAATCTGTTTAAAATGTCTAGTATCAGTAGTACAATAAAAACTTCATACAATTTGCTCTGATAAATAAATAAACATAAATAAATTCTTCATTTCAACTACATTTCATAAGATTTGCTTCATTCAAATAAACATGACCGCATTACGCAAATATATCATTGACCACACGACCAAAAGCGAAACACTGAATCATGACACATATACCATATCGTCATGATTCTCATCGCAGCAACATGTGGGTGATAAAAAGCAGCTTTCATAGAAAGGATCGCTGCTGGAACAACAGGCTGTGTGTCAAACTTTCCCCAAAACCACAAGCATTAGCTAGCAGTCGCTTTCAAGACAGCCGGAGAGTTCAATCTTCACCACAGAGCCATGGGCGACATCTATATGATGCTGTTCAAAAATAACAACTTATTACATAATAACAATAAATTAATCACCATAACACCTTTAAATTGCTGTGTTCAGAATGGAAAAGTAACGTAATGAATTTGTTACATTAATTATTCACTTCTTACCTAACAGCAATTCACTCACAAGTTGATATTTTATGCATTTTTTTATTTTCAAATGTATAAATGCATATAGTTATTATTATTAAATAATAATAACTGCGCATAAAAAGTACACATAAAATGCATAAGTATTATTATTAAATAATAATAATAAATAAGGATTATATTAAAATATAATGGCATACATAGCTTTATTATTATTATTATTATACAATTTCTGCAACGGCATTAATAATAATAATTCTATTCATGTATCAAAATGTATAAGTAAAATGCATAATTATTAATTATTGTTATTATGTTTGACATTATATTTAAGTTTTTCTTAATCGGTTTATGTATCAGAAATGTATAAATAAAATGTTTAAACATCATAAACTATTATAATTACTAAATTATAATAATAATAACAAGAGTTTATGTAGTCTAATAACTCTGTGTAAGATTGAGGAATAAAACTAAAACAAAAAAAAAAAGTAATATATTATATTGATGATTTTTTATGGAATCAAAAAACTGCCCCAAATTATTGTTAAAAAATAAATCTTCATTTAAAACGGCTTATCCCTTTCAAAAATGTCCAACTGTATCTCAAAAGCTACAATCCAAAACACTAGAGACCACACCATGTCTAACACTGAGCAATAATAATAATAATTCTCTTGCTGTAGACTAAAAAATGTAAATAAATTTAAAATAAAACAAAATGAAATAACCCTCGACAGAACTTTAAAATGTTCATCTTCACACTACAAACTCCTTAAATTACAAGAAACTTCTGAAAATACCCAAGCGACGCTTTACTCACATCCACGACCCAATTTAGGAGCACACGCTCACTTCTTCACTAGAATCGTGAGGAGTCACAGCAGAGCTGCTAAACCCCTACCTTGGGCGAGAGCCACGAGCTTCCTGTGACCTCTACCGTGACCCAGAGCACCTCCCGAGAGGACGTCCTCTGTAGAGACGGAGGGTCTGTCGCCGCTGAATTTCAGCAGCGTATTAAGACAAGGCTGAGGCAAAGGCGCGTTCAGTTCATCCCCTGACAACACCAAGCATCGCAGGGGCACCAAGCTCCCATCTGGCCTCGAAACGCTCTCTAAAAACTCCTCGGATGGGGCGGACAGGAAGGTCGTGCAGAACATCATCTCATCTGTGGCCCAGCATTAAGGCGTGAAGCTATGGTAGCTAGCTAATTTCACCGCAGCAGGAGGCTAGCGAGCCAAGCAGCCTCAAAGCCGAGATGCTCTTTAAACCAATTGTGAGTGTTTTGTGATCTGGCTGCCCACCAAACCAATCCCTCTCATGCTAGTCAAATCCTGAAAAATTACAAATGCGGAATATTATGTAAGGAACTGCTAATCCAGTTTAATCTCTGAAATTTGCTGTAAGCATTACAAGTCTTCAACTGCAGGCAAAGCCACACACTTTTTATAATACACAAGTGTGTTTTTGACTTCGTTTGACAGATGGTTCAGTGGAGAATGCCAGCGAATCTCTGATTAGCTTCTCTACTCATCAATGCTGAACTGAAAACACTGTTATATCAGAGATAAAGCGGCCACACGGAGCATGTTCAGTCAGATATCAACCACCAATCTAGTTACACAATGAGGAAGCGGAAGGAAAGGAAATGTGCTGGAGAAAGATTACATTTGCTTTTTTTTCTGCAGGTGGACACCTTACACAACACAAATACATTCTGTTCTTTGAGAACGGAACGACGCGTCGCATAAATCTGATTTGAACAACTTCATTCTTCATAGTGCTGTCACGCAGGGCACAATATGGTTGGATCAACAGCTATAAATTGTGAATGTGAATTTGAAATGTGAACAGACTGGAGGGAGGGAAAAAAAATGGAACTGGCCTCCAGAGCTGCCGTAACAAATCTAGGACAAATATGTTGATTTAACATCACGGATAATAACATTTCAGACTAGAAATTATTCTGATTGGCTGGTAATGCTAAAAAAAAAATAGGCTGAATCCCTTGGAAAGTGTAAATACTGTGGTGTTATCAAAACATTGCTCTGTTTGTTTGAGACTCCTGACCTGCCAACAACACTGGCTGAACCAATAGTGTGAGTTAGGGGGCGGGACTATCTGTTTGGTCAACCAATGGCAGACGCAGGGAGTGTTCAGGATTATTTTCGCACTTCGGTTTGATGTTTATGGCGCCAAAAATTACAATTCACATTTAATTACCACAAATCAAACTTATAATAGCAATTTAAATGTAGTATTTTTCTTTTAAGGAAAATTAACCAAAAATTTCATGGCACAAGGGTGTACACAATTTTAATTATACTTAATTTATTTTGAATGTATTTTTAATTAATAAATTATTTTAGATCAAATAAATAAAAATTATGTATTTACAATTATTTTTACAATAAAAAAATAGAAATATAAAAATTATATATAAATCTATTTATAAAATCATAGAATTAAAAACTATTACATTATAAAAAAAATTGTTTTTAAAACAATACAAGCATCTGACTAGCAAAAGAATAATAATAATAATAGATGAGCCCTCAAATATGCCCTGCCCCAAATTATTGCTTCAATAGGAAATACTCTGGAATAAAAAATAAAAAAAGACTTAATTTGGTTTGATATTTTCTGTAGCATTCTTTTTTTTAAATAAAGTATAATAAAATAAAATAAAAATAAATAGGACTGTAAGTAGCATCACACATATCCTGTTACAGGCTACTGACATGGAGCAAACAAGATTATTTGGTAACTAGCAACATCGCTTCTAAGGGATGTCAAACCAGCACTGTAACCCTGATAAAGATCTATGAGAAATTCTAACCAAGTAAAACTAAGTGAGGAAAAGTGGTCTCTTTGATGTAATTGAATTGGCGAGAGCAGCAGTAGTGCAGTGGAATGGAATGATCCATGTGGCATACATATGGCTCCCAGCGCACAGATTGACCTCAGGCTTCCAGTCAGGGGTTGAACGCTACTCTCATCTAGGTCACGTACAATGCGGATGTGTGTTTGTGTGAATCACGCTCATGCCTGACGACACTCACACAAGAATAGGTTTTGATTTCTGTGGAAGATACATTATGTGTATGGGTATTTCAGCATAGTTCTGTCAAAAAGGGGATTTAAAAACAAACAAACAAAAAAACAACAACAGCAAACACAAACTGATTAGCTCTTACAACATTAGGAGTAAACTCATGAGTGAATGTAAGTACCAGGACACGTACCATTTGGTGGGTCACGCCTTTTCTCTGCAAAAACAAAATTAACATTGTTAAAATGTGGAGGCCGAGTTAAGACTAGTGAGGTCAGTAACAGAGAGGAAAAGAGCCGGTAGGTCACCCAAAGGAGAAGGGAATGGTTAAATTACGTTAGTTAGAAAGGTTAGGGAAGGAGATGGTAAAAAGAGGTGCCCTGAGCTCTGCACCCTTTCGCAATACACTAACATCCACAAAATCATGGTTTTATTTAAGCTTTATTTTATCCTTTTTTTTTTTAAATCAACTGGCAGGTTTATCATCACATTTTTAGCACCATCATTTGTGGTTCATTTCTATGCAAACTTATAATATTCTTATAACCTTGATCTTAAAGGTGAAGTGTTTATCTATTCTTCTACTGTGAAAATGTTAAAAGACTTTACTGCAAAAGACTGCAAAAGTCCTTTTTATCTCAATGACAGTTGCTCAGCAATTTCATATTTTTAAAAGCTCTCAAACACATATTTCATCTTTATTTTATAATGTGCGTATATAATATATATACACACACACACACACACAATTATACTTTAATTTAATTATATTTTATTATGTTTTTACAGCTCTTAAAAGTGACATTGCCGAGCAACTGCTAAAACACATTAAAATCCAAATATTATTATACCTATTAATTCAGTAAAATAAAAATAAATATTACACAGTATCATTCAAAATTTTGGCTCGGTAACACTGACGTCTGTAAGAAAGAAAAATGTTTTTCAAACAGTTTCCTCATCAAGGCTGCATTTATTTGATCAAAAATATGGCAAAATAGTAATATAGTGAAATATTTTTACAATTTAAAATAACTTTTATATTTAATTTTTTTTAAATGCAATTATTTGCTGTGATGACAAAGCTGAATTTTTAGCATCATTACTACATGATCACTTGATCCTTCAGAAATCATTCTAATATGCTGATTTGGTGCTCAAGTAATTCTTATCATCAATATTGAAAACAGCTCTGCTGCGTCATGTTTTTGTGGAAACGGTGATACATTTGTTTTTTCAGGATTCTTTGAACAAAAAAATTCAAAAGAAGAGCATTTATTTGAAATAGAATTTTTTAGCAACGTTATATATGTTTGCACTGTACTTTTGATCAATTTGATGCATCCTTGCTGAAAAAATTAATTAAATGAAAAATAATAATAATAATACGTGTGTGAATAAATAAACTACTCACTGGCAGAAGCATTCACTGTAATATACTGAAATATTTAAAGTATTTTCCAATAACAAGATAGAATAAAAATCACAATATAATTTTAATCCATTTTAAATTCCATCTGGTGTCACTAATTACAACATGTTCCACACTTCACCTTTAACACCCAGAAGATAACTGAATGAATCACTGTATGCAAATGCAATCAAACTGCACAAGAAGTGATCCAACATGTTTGTTCGGAATTCGACCACATTAAACGTAAAAATAGGCAGGCAAGGCAGACATAGGAGGCGTATAAGGCACCAGGGCCTCTTTAAAAATCAGTTAGTGCAGATAGAAGCCTAAACTTCAAAGCCCAGCATGCAAAACAGAGCAGGAAGTATTGGAACCCAGCCAGGAAGTGAGGAGAGAGACTGCTGGGTTTACAAGAGAGACATGAGGAGAAAAGGCCCACTGTGAAGGTTTTACAACACACCCTATGGAGAGAAAACCAGCACACTTGCTACACTATAACAGATTACAACTACAGACTGAGAAGAACAGGAGGAAAGACGGGGAGAGATAAACACAACTGCAAATGAGCAGCCGGCAACAGCAAATATAACAGGTTAACAATAAAATGCGAACTTAAAGGGATACTCCACCCTAAAATGAAAATTTTTGTCATTAATCACTTACCCCCATGTCGTTCCAAACCCCTAAAAGCTTTGTTCGTCCTCGAAACACAATTTAAGATATTTTAGATGAAAACTGTGAGGCTTATGACTGTCCCATTGACTGCCAAGTAAATTCCAGAAAAGTATGAAAGACATCGTCAGAATAGTCCATCCGCCATCAGTGGTTCAACCGTAACGTTATGAAGCGACGAGAATACTTTTTGTACGCAAGCAGCGTACGCTCTTCTGTGTCAGCCACACTGCACAGATGCGCTGTTTTTGTTCAAATCAAAGCGTAAATACACGTAGAAAACGTATCCGTGTGTCGCGGCTGACACAGAAGAGTGTACGCTGCTTGTGTTCAGTGGTTATTCTCCAAATTGGCGCTACGGTGATGCGGAGAGACAAAGAGACGAATTGTTGAATAAAGTCGTTAGTTTTGTTTTCTTCACGTACAAAAAGTATTCTTGTCGCTTCATAACGTTACGGTTGAACCACTGATGGCAGATGGACTATTCTGACGATGTCTTTCATACTTTTCTGGACCTTGACAGTGTCATTTACTTGGCAGTCAATCGGACAGTCACAAGCCTCCCGGTTTTCATCCAAAATATCTTAAATTGTGTTCCGAGGACGAACGAAGCTTTTACGGGTTTGGAACGACATGGGGGTAAGTGATTAGTGACAAAATGTTCATTTTAGGGTGGAGTATCCCTTTAATAAATGAGCATGTTGATGGAAAAGTTCACCCAAAAATTTAAAACTCATCCGCATGTTATTACAAACCCATATGACTTGCTTTCTACTGTGGAACACAAAAGGAGATTTAAATAATGTGCTAGTCATTCTTTTTCATGAAATTACAATGATGACTGGAGCTTTCAAGCTTCAAAAACAGACTAAAATTTAGGTCTTCATTCACTGAATCAGTTGAGTTGAATCCAAAAACTGGAATGTCTGATTCTCCAATGAAACATCACTATTCTCATGCCAAGAGGAGCTGGACTGTATGTTCAGATTTTAACTAATAACAATATACATTTTGGTCTGTTCCTTGCACAAAACTATAATATGATTTTACAAAATCACAAGTCATACAAGACACTTTTTTCTGGTCATTTTAAAGCTTAATAACTTAAAAAATAATAATAATTTGTTGGTTTATTTATTATGTTTTTTTTTTTTTTTTTTTTCCAAATCAGAATCAAATGCTTTATTCATGGTAAAAAAAACAACGTGTTTATTTATCTTTGTACTCGGTCGACTGATGGATTTTACTGGTACTGATAGCTAAGCTGGACCATACAACTGATAGTTTTTAAAATAGATACTGAATGAAAACTGAAACAGTGTTGAACTTTATTACAAAAAAACAAAAAACAAAAAAAAAATAAACAGTATTGAACCACACATTTAAAATGGAGTAACAAATATTAAAATTAAATAATGATTGTACATTGATCAATTTTAGTTCATTAATGTAAACTTCAGTCAATGAAACTTTAAAATGTTTAAATCTATTAGTAAATGTTGAAATTAATACACTCTAACAAGCAACAATAATTCCAAAAACTATCGGTATGGACTTTTGCAGAAACCTGATAGTTCCAGTAATCAACTATCGGTGCCGATTAATCGGCATAAGCGATCAATCAGTCGACCTCTAGTTTGAACTCTTATTTATTGCTATATGCCTGCATTTTTTTCTGTATTTATAGCTATATCAGAATCAAAATAAGAATCAATTAAATTAAACAATATACAATTGTGCGCAGAAAGAAGAAAGTCATACACATTATGTACTATGGTATGTAATAAGGATGAGTAAATAATTATAATTCTCAGTTTTAGGTGAACTATTCTGAAAAACAGATTTGGGAGAAAGAAATATATGTTTTAGACACTAATAAGGTTTTAGACATAATTTTGATTACTACTGAATGTAAAGCATATTAGTTGGGAGTGAGATAGTTCACCCAAAAATAAAACTGAATTGAGACTGAAAAAGAAAGACATATGGATTGGACTTGGAACAACATATGGGTGAGTAAATGCCATAATTTTAATTTTTGGTGAACCATTATCCCTTCAAAGGAAAGGAAAGAAATTAAAACCAGCACATTTACCAGTTTTCCTCTGTCGTCTGTTGAGCAGTTCGTTGAGTGCACTCCGAAATCGTTTAGCTTCCTCTTCACTGGCAAAGTTGAGGCCCATCTGACAAGACTAAAGAGCAAAACACACCATATGACCAAAAAAGCCAGATCACATCCTCACTAATGCTAAAAGCAGCTTTACAAGAAAGACAAGAAAGCGACTAGCCAAACAAACTTTTCCACAGAACATCTCTGGCTAGTTTCCTCTGTTTGCTTTCTTGCTAATGGTCAACAACGTGAAATATATATATAAAAAAACTCACATCTCCGGCAAAGGTAATGAAGTAGGCTCTCGAACAAATGACCATGAAATTATTGTAGAGCTCCTGCTCAAACTTTGCTTTTCCATCCTGCAAAAATGAGAAACAAGATATTTTACATATCACATGCACGAACTGCCAAGTCTCCGATCTGATATCTTTGCTGTTTATTTGCTCTCAGAGAGCTCACCTTGATATCAAAGACACGGATAAAATAAGACCTCTGAGGGTTGTCTTTCACCAAACAGGCCACACCACAGCACCTCTTGTACCAGGACGAGCCCCTGTCTGCCCCGTACACCTGGACCACCGCTGAGCACAATGTCTGCAAAAAGATAAAGAATCATGAACTTCATGAAACAAGCAAAATACACAATTATCGATCATCCTAAAATTAAGAGCAAAGCTTTTTTTGATAATGTTTTTCAAAAAATACTTCATTAAGGGAATAGTTCACAAAATAAAAATTTGCAAAAAATGTACTCACCCTCAGCCCATTCAAGATGTAGATGAGTTTGTTTCTTCATCGGATCAGATTTGGAGGAATGTCGCATTACATCACTTGCTCATCAATGGATCCTCTGCAGTGAATGGGTGCCTTCAGAATGAGAGTCCAAACAGCTGATAAAAACATCACAATCCACAAGTAATTCACACAACCCCAGTCCATAAAGTTAAATCGCCTTAATGATGGATTTGTTTTTTTTTACAAACACGCAGCATCTCAATTCACAATACATTCACTGATGGACTGGAGTCTTGTGGATTATTGTGATGTTTTTATCAGCTGTTTGGACTCTCATTCTGACGG